ATTGTACTTCGTTCTGCCAACTCCACATTAAGTATGTATTTTTCTCTATTTTATCTCGTTATGAAGATAAATTTATTCATGATTTTGGTACCTTTCTTAATGGCTTTTGTACAAACATTCATCTTTACGAGCGATGTTCGGCGTGGCTTATGACGTCATGAACTTTATAGATGTAAACCTAGTTGCGGACATAGATTCATCCTCCTCGACACAAGGGCGTTTTGCTAGCCTCCCGGGTCATATTTGTGGAATACTCGGCACGACCTGACATCTCATCGTTCAGTTCTGTTTTCCTCGCTGTTCTGTTCTTGAGCACAGGAGCTGGACGTGATTCTTTTTGGTTTTAATACCAGATGTAAACAAGTTTTATAGATTTTACAATAATCATCAAGCTTGTGAATACTATTGAATCATAATAATTTCTTTTCATTGCTTCATTGTTTAAGTTATCTAACTAACTTCATTTTCTTAGGTATCAATTTAACAGTGAGCCCATTAGAAATAGATTAATATTGGCTACATAGTCTCAATATCCCACTACAATAATGATAGTAATAACAATAATAGTAATAATGATAGTAATATTAAAACAACAATAATAATGATATTAATGACAATGATAACAATAATGACAATAATAATGATGACAGTTAATTAGGATTCTCATTGATTCGTAACATGGTAAGCGCATACACTCGCGTAGTTATACACACGTATACACAGAAACTCACGCGCATACACATGTTTAATTATCAATTATAATTCACTTTTACACCAAAATTAAACTACTTCAAGTCTACATACATTTACATAGAGAAAGAAAATTCGCACTTCATAAGGCATACGATCTTAGGCGTCAAATGGACGGAGGAATGGACGAGCGAAAGACAAAAAGTTGTAGTAGTCGTAGCAGAAATAATAGTAGCAATATTGCTATTATTAGCATTATCTCTATTATCCCCTTTTATGTTTACTTTGTCATCGTTATTCATATTATTATTGTTATAAGTATTACTGTTATTATAGCCATTTTGCTCACCTGCTGATTAGTGTCATTTTTATCAGTTATCTTCATTACCATCATTATTCACTATCACAATCACAACTATCCTATCAAAATATGACGTCGAACTAGAAATCATCAAAATCATTAAAATAACGATCTTTTTTTCCTTCCTTATAATCCTAACTATTTCAAGATCGGTAATTAAAGTATTTCTAAATTCCGCAAAAGTTGGATTTGAAGAACTCACATCATTAGCATTTGCAAATAATATGCAATATCATCACTCACAACTTTTGCGAATTTTCTGATAATAATGACATTGCGAGCCAGCTGCCCATTGTATTATTAATTATGTGAAATAACAGCGACATTTGATACAGTCGTTATTTCAGTAATAGATGCATATCTTTGGAATACAATTTCACTTCGATTACTGGCGGAGGCTGCAATTACTTTGGTGATTGTCTGAATAATTTAGATCACGTGGACTACGTACACTGTCGCTGATGCTTTCAAAATGAAAGCCTTTTTTCGTTATTTTTTGTTGTTTTTCTTTTTGTTTGTTTTGATTTGCTGTTCTTTTTATTTTTTTTCCTTTTTCTTTTCTTTTCTTTTCGTTTGTATCAAATTTTTGTTCTTGCTGTTTTGCATTGTCTTTTTATATTTGTTTTGTTGGTGCTTTTCTTTTCTCTATTTTCTATTTTCAAGTGATTCGTATATTTGATATTGATGTTAGTATCATCAATAGATCTCTGGATGAGTTTCCGTTACGCTGTCTGGAATTATATGCATTTCAAATCATTTCTTAATTGCTTGATCTGCGAAGCTGTGTGTGCAAAATACAGAACAAATAATCAGAATTATATTCATACTAGATGTATGATGTGTAAAAGCAGACGATATCGTGAACACATAATCAAATATGGAACAGACAACATGGAATATATTACATGTAAAGCATTTAATTTATATATTCAATAAAATATGTATCAGGGGATTATAGTAATAGGATTACCCTAACTTTTTTCACCATGATCAATTACGTAAATCGTATAATACGACCCCACCCATAAAAAAAAAAAAAATATTTGACCTCCATTGCCCTCTGAAGCGTAACAAGAGACACATAGACTGAGGAAAAATAGAGGTAGGGGGTGGGAGGGGGAGCATATGCAAATGCCAATGAGTTTGGATAATTGCAACTTTAACCTATTTGATAGTATGAAGTACAATCGGTGTTGGGTTATCTTTTGCTGTCGATTCCCGGGGGGGTTATTTGCATTTCGCGGAAGTCATGGTGTTTTTAAGAGAACGCAAAGGTCAGAGGTCGGAATTTCTGTGATTATGGAGTGAGTCGATTTCTCAGTGTGGGATACATTTTATCTGCAAAGCCAGTTTATAGTTATTTTTAGATGTGATTAGAGTCGATTAACATTCATGACATTGCAACAAGCTCTGTTGTAAAATTCGTAGTCACACACACACACGTACACATACATAGACACATACTCATGCACACACACTGCATATAATCACACACATACACACAAACAAATACACACACACACGCACGCACACACACACACACACACACACACATATACACACACACACACACACACACACACACACACACACACACACACACACACACACACACACACACACACACACATGCACACACGTACACATACATACACACACATTTACGCATATACACTGCATATAACCACACACACACGCACACACACACATACACACATATACAAACACTCAAACACACACAAATGTACGTGTGTATGTGTTATTGCGAGTGTGTATACATGTGTCTGTGCACGCATGTCTGTATTTGAGAGAAAAAAAAACTAGAGTATAGCGTACACTGACGTATCGTCCTGAGACCACTTGCCAGACTTCCTAAAGGTGCAGTTGCTCTTCACTTGACGTTCTCTGTTCCTGTTCAAGCGTTCTTCCACGTGACAGACGCGTTCACCAGATTATCCTGAATGTTCATTAAGTATGGAGGACCTTTGTGCAGACGGAAAAAATCTCGGTTTCATTTTCTTGTTTTTGACGTATACGTGCTCGGCTTCAAAGTCCTTTCGCTAAGATATTAGTAAGCTGACGAGGAATAAGCATATGTACAACTTATATTAATATTATTTTTGCACACACAAATACGTTATATATGTGACTATATATATACATTTATATAGCAATTTAAGAATACGTATTTAGACATATATATATATATATATATATATATATATATATATATATATATATATATATATATATATATATATATATATGTATATATATATATATATGTATTAAATTTATATATAAGCACACACGCACACACAACACAGACACACACACACACACACACACACACACACACACACACACACACATATATATATATATATATATATATATATATATGTGTGTGTGTGTGTGTGTGTGTGTGTGTGTGTGTGTGTGTGTGTGTGTGTGTGTGTATGTGTGTGTGTGTATATATATATATTTATATTTGTATTATAACTTGTATATTATATTATATTATATTATATTATTTATATATATATTTAAATATTATGTTATAATATAAATATAAATATATATAGATACATATACATATGTGTGTGTGTGTGTACTAATATGACTTGTGTTCTTATATTTAATCTACCATAATCATATCACATGTGCTATAAAGGAAGCCTTAAAAGCATTAGGTACTCTTATAGTTGTCTCCAGCAGCGCAAAGGCGTCTCTATGTACACCCGGCACGTAGCCTCCTTTTACGAGCGCAAAGCCAATAATATAACCAACAAAACCTATAATTTCTCCATTTAACTTGAATTTCCTCCTCGTTCGTGGCAGAGATCCTCGAAGAATTCGGGTGTGGTCGCGTGGCCAGCCTGTTGGGCGTGGAGGGAGGCCACGGTCTCGGCAGCAGCATGGGCGTGCTGAGGGCGCTGTACGATTTGGGCGTGCGCTATCTGACGCTCACCCACAAGTGCCACACGCCATGGTGAGTGCCTCTCGTAGTGACACAGTTTTCGCTTTTCAATTACCAGGGACTGTAGGATAGACCTCCCGTAGTAGGATGTGATACGTGTTGCATGTGACTTATCTATCCACTGCATGATAAGGAATTTATATGTTGTCCTCTTTATCGCTTCTAGATAATTAATAAATTCATTAATGAATTGTTCACCTCACATTCCGTATTTCAATAACATGACAAAAATGTGCAAACAGAAAGGCGTTCAACTACGATTGAAAATAAATAAAAGGCCATGTTGATTGATCTGTGATATGGCTACTAATAACTGCCAATGCTTTTCAACGATAGAATTTACTATGCACTGAGGCATGTTATTACATCGTACAATATATGACACAAAAAGAGGGGAAAAAAGTGTGTGTGATCTATAACTTGGAACTTTTTAGCATTATATTGGTGTACAGTACAGAGGGTGCATAATCGAAACACGCCCATTTGTATGCAAATAAAGTGTACATATTTGGGTATGTGTAAACATTGCATATTTGTATATATAAAATATGGCGTGAACCATGGCCTATATGGAATTCAATGAATACGGTTGAAAAAAAATGTTGTGTCCTAATATAACAGTAATCTGTATACTCCAGTCCGGTTATATAAGCTCTCATCCTTTCGATAAACCATGCTTTATAAAAAAATAAAAAAAAATCTGCCGATAAAGCTTATGATATCTCCCTCAATCGCTAGTGACAACACTGCACTCACCTTTTAGTCTCATTTCCACATTAAACATTGCATACCATCTTTTCCTACCTACTTCCATAAAGTTAACCTTGCACCGTTCCATCTCGCATTTGCGTATGCATCACGCCCTAAGGTAATATCTTACCTGCCGTGTTTTCCTTCCTCAGGGCCGAGTGTTCTGAGACGATTAACCACGTGGCACCCAATGCTCCAGGCCTCACGCAGTACGGCAAG